TTTTTCTGATCCTCTGGACAACTTTTTTTGTCCCTCGTCAGGAGCCCATCAAATGGAGCCTCCATCTCCATTAATTTCTTGAGTCAACCCTTTCCCGAGTAGATTTATAAATAGAACGGCTTGTTTCCCGCGAAAAGTGTCATATTTCCGTGAGTCTCGTATGTCACCGTGAAAAAAATGAAGTTGGATGAAGTCGAACTCAGAAGCCCGTCCTTCGACCGTTTTCCTTTTTTACTATACGTCCATTTTTACAGTTTTACAGCCGCTGGAATCTGGGATGAAATAAAAGTTAATGAATTACCCGACTGAGACTGAGCATGAAGCTATGGGACAAAGGCAGCGAACTGAGGATCACGGAAAGGTTCTTTGCGAGTGTTTGTTTTTGTTTTTTTTGTTTTTTTGCCGTCATACATCCCACATTTAAGCATGCACCTTGAAAAGAGTCGACGATTAAGCGTTCTGTAGACGATTTGAAACTTTTCGATGATCAGCGCCGAAAAAGTGCCAGGATCATTTATTTTTGTCATCGCCGTGGAGTGGATTTCGCTAGTTAAGCACCGTGTGCAAAAGCGATGACCTATTAAAGTAGGCAGTAAGGAGGAATGCTTCAGAAAAATTGCAGTCTTCCTTTACAACGGACTTGTATCACCATGAGAGTTGTCTGATAAAACTGGCACTTGAAAAGTTGAACAGAAGACAACAGTTGCTCGACCGTGAAGCTAACTCAAAAGTAATTTGCTAACGGTGGAATTTGTGACATCGCGTTCCAGTCCAAAGACCCTCTTATCTCAAGAAAAACAAAATGGATTGTATCTGCCCCCAAAGAATTGTGACTGACCAACAAGAGAATTCTCAGCAATTAATGTAGAAGTTTAGGCCAATTCTTTCCTTCGAATTCGCATCTGTAGATCACTTTTTTCGGCGTTACAAAACATAGCAGGGAATCATCACACTAACTGACGGACAAAACAACCACAGTATTTATTCAGACAAACGCATTTCGGCTAAAAAATTGAAAAACTAGAAATTTGATTAATATTAAGTCATTTAGCCGAAATAAGAACCTTAACGCTAAGAATGGCTAAAGAAAACGAATCCTGTCAGAACTACAGACTGCAGGTAGAAGTTAATCCTTGCGCATTTAACAGACCAGCTCAATGTGAGACAAGCAACCAAAATTAAGATTAACATAGTCAGAGTTTAAAACTCTCCACAGTATAATCTACCCGCTAGAAAGAAAAGAAAGAAAATCTCTGAGGGATGAAAACGCTAAAGTCACGTTTCACTAGCTTATGATTTTGTTTGGCCTGTCAGCACCGGATTTCCTGCTGTTTCATGAAGTACAATAGCAGTGTCATTTAGTCGTTGTGATTGGCTCTTCCCACCGTCGGCGCGCGAAGTCTCCCCTGGGAACCGTTCTAATAATAAATCTACTCGGGAAAGGGTTGACTCCAAGGGCTTGTATGGGAGATGGAGGCTCCATTTGATAGGCTCCTGCCCTCGTGTATTATGTGTCCCCCGTATGAAAGGATAACCTACGTGTAGCCGCACCCTCCCCCGTTTCGGAAGGTGCGGCGACGCGTAGGCTAAGAATATTCGCGCCGTGCCAGCAACTCTATCAACTTGTCAAAATTTAAAGCCAACATAACCCGACTTATGTAGTTCTGTTTTAAGACACGTAATCATGAAATAGTTCTGTATAGATTTTATATCTATCTGATTAATTATTTACCACTAGATCCGCTGAATGCAAAGAGCAGGCCACGTAGACAATTTGGCCGGGCTGTGTTTATACAACCCAACATTTGGATATTTGCTGTGGTGGTACTGTACGCCCGGGGGGGGAGGGGCTACTCCCCTATAAAATTGACGGGGGTGCTAGTCGTGCGTGCTGTGGGACCCAACCCTATGATGTGCTGTAGGGGTACTGTACGATCTCAGTTAGGACTCCGTCCAGAGTGCTGAGGGACCCAGGCCTACGATGCTCGTTTTGATATGTGCTGTGGTGGTACTGTACGAGGTCGGTCAGGAATCCGCCGTCCCGCGTGTTGAGGGACCTAAGCCTGCGTACGATGCTCGTTTTAATACGTGCTGCAGTAGGTGGGTGTTCAGATACTGCACAGTCGTCAGTCACAGTACATGATCATAATCAGTAAACTTTGCCATTTAAACATATAAGAATGCACGGAATGATGTTTACCTGAAACTCGTTTGAGGAATACAACTTTTGAAACTCAGATTACAAGCCCGGGGGGGTACTCAACAAATGTCAGTTTATACGGGGAGGCTCCGCCCCGAGGTCTAACCCCTTACCTTTTTATACACCATTTTTCACTAAAAAGGTACCCCTTTCGTATACCCTCTATGGACAAATTGTACCCCTTTCACATACCTTGTTTAGAACTTTGCATCACTTTTAATTGCTGTAAATGCACTGTCTCTTAAATAGAAATCAATCACAAAAATAAAACTTTTTCTCGACTTAGCCTTTTTGGGCCCTTTCACAGACCCAAATAACAGATTTCCCTACCCTTTTATATACTTCCACTAATGAAATCCCTACCTTTTCATATACCTGAAGCCTGAAAAAGATACCCCTTTGGGGGTTTCGGAGTATCGGTATCGCAGCCTCTCCATATCATAGGGCCCAGAGTACCCCCGGGATTACAAGAGATTACAACAAAAACACAGGGCAGGTCAATGTTAATCTCGTACCCAGATCTCACTCTGTTTTACTTGGCCGTGGGAGATCTGGGTACGAGATTAAGTCAATGTATGTCAAATCTTTTCAAAATACAGAATTAATTTTTAGGACATGTTTTTGCTGATTACCCTTTCCCATTCTCTAATAACTTTGAATTTCATGCGAACACCCATAGAGTCTACAAGGGCTGCCTGTGATTTTCAATGTAATTCAAAAGAAAACCAATTACTAATTATGTCCAATGTGCAATCTTATTTTTATTAGTAGATGACAGTGTTATAGTTAGTCATGGTTTCTATTTTCCTTTTTCGATTTTTTAGCTATATCAATCAAGTAATAATTAAATTAATTTTTATAATAAAGTACACGGTATTCGTGCATATCAAGCTTGTCCTGGCTTGTCGTCATACAGTCTAAGGGTGGAGCGTACAGGATGAGGGACACAGTGGCTCGAATTGTATATGCCATTCGTACTAGTTGTCACCCACCTTGCGAGTGTGACGAATATTACAGTGTGGTAGAAGAAAATGAAGGTTTGTTAATCTTGGCTTAGGCAATTCCTTATTGTTGCAGTAATTGCTAAGTCTATGTTCCTTGATAGCTGCGCCAATCTCTAAAGTGGAAAGTCACATATATCGGATACTGTAGTTGTCAATAGCATACCGGATAGCTCAGTTCATGTTGGCACAAAAAGGTTCCCGGTATAGTGTTTGAACTAGCCTCATAAAGAGCAAAGTCAGTTTTGAAAACTTCTACAGTCACTGACAGCGTTAGCGGATTATAGTCATTGTCGTGTCCATTCAAGATGGACTCACGAGGGACTGACTTCATGACAGTACACTGAGTACAGTTTCCCATTTAGAGAGTAGTTTATTCAGCTTATTAGAGAGTTAAGGTATAACCTCTCTAACACGGTGTGTACAGTAAAACGTAAATTCTTCAGTGTCGTTTATCACAATAAATTCGCAAATAGACCAAAACAAAAACAATAAAATTAAATGTTAAAAACGTGCTATCCTTTAGTTTTGTTCTACTCCCACATCGACCCGGCAGCTCTAGAGGCCGGCGTATCTCATGATGTCGGGGTGGCCAATCAGTGGTACCATGAACTGAATGGGATGCAATAAGTTAATCTTAAGATACAAATTATGTTTTTTTTCTTCCCAGTAAAGGACACGTTAGAGATTTTTGGAATGGAAATAGATAATAAACTTAATTTTTTCCAAATAATCATCAAATATAAGCAAAAAGTGGATTAAAAATCAATTTAAAACCTTACAAATCGTAATATATATTTTACCTCATGTATATTGTTGCTCCACTGTCTGCACTTTTGTGCAGCGCGCGATGCAGATAAGCTAGAAGCGCTAAATAAAAGAATACTTTCAGTAGTAGTACTGGTACTTTGAGATTACTAAGACCCGTCTCCAACCCATACAGCATTCTTCTTACGTGAAAAGTCAACTCTACTTCTTTGTGTGACAAGCCCGTTCAGAATTTCCTTATATTGTCGTATTAGAGTTTGTTTTTCACTCTTTTTCCCGCTTAAAATATGTTTTCACTCCGATCCTCGATCCTCCTATGATATTCGTCATCTCTCAGTAAATCTAAAACAGTTTAGTTTATATCGATACAGTTTTTCGAAGACCATACCGATATTTTTTATTCGCCTTAACCCTTTTATCCCCAAGATCCACATACAAATTCTCCGAAGACTGATCTCCACCCATTTCCTATTAGAATAGTTGAGAGAATATGGTTTAAAATCAAATCGTTCTCCCTTTGGTAATCAAATTAGTAATTCTCATAACCGATAGTCTTGATGATCTGAAGATGTAGTTGGGAGAAAATTGATGTTGGTCACTCTTGGGACCTATAGGGAAGTGATTTTATCCTTATCCGATCGCTATGAAATTTTCACCACTGACTGATTTGGATTTGGATCTACAGATTACCTAATTTTAATATGCTCTTTCAGCTCGTGCTAAAAAAATTTTTGAAACCGAACATCAAAAGTTGATCACGTGATCAACTAATGCAAAAAGGCCTAGCCCTGTCACGTTCGCATTTGTCACAAACAAGCGTTTTGCCGTCCTCTTCTTCCTGTCGTCCTGTTGCGTAAACTCACTAACAACTTTAAAAACCGTGCGCCGCAGAGACGTGAGACTTAGACATGTGGTATATTTATGAGTCTTCTGTAACATTTCATTTTCTTGGCTTCAAGTTTATATTTTTTCATTGCGTGACAGTGCCCGCACTGAACCCACAAGGCGTTGAGCGCGGCAGCTAAGCTAGAGTCAACATGGAGACCCTGATGGCGACCTTTTCATTGATTTTGTTGTCCTAGGATCTTCATGTTGACGCGCTGACAAAATGTACAGCGTGAGTGTAACCGTAAGAGGATCATTGTTTCGTCATTGCTTTTATGTAAAGAAAAGCACCGCAAGTAGCGTACAAGGGCTTATTGACCAGCAAAGCCAAGGGAATACTGTAAAAGGTTCAGAAGGGGTAAATTTTCTGCGATCAGAAGAAAATTCATTTGCTGCCTCTAAGAGAGGTTCGTTTTTTCAAGAAGCACCAAGACTGAGAAACCAATTTAATAGCGATTTCTTCCTGCAGTCGTACTTGAGGCGGAGTCTTCCCAGTGAGGTAAGGTTGGAGCTAACACACTTGCATAATCATTGTGGGGTCACTTGTGGGGTCATCCCCGGTGTAATATAATTTATTCGTTTTCTTTGTTTTCTGGACTATTGTCAGGGTTAATTAGGTTCATTGTTAAGAAAGTTTTGTTTTTACGTCAGCTGTGAGTAGTAAATTATATTACACTGGAGATGAGCCACTCCTAAAAGGTACCAGAATCATGTTTTATGAACGTCTCCCAAATTCATTTCCACCCCTAAAAGGTACCAATTCAACAACAACAAATTATGTAACTGGCACCGCAAATTTTAATAGTAATAGAGATAACCTTTGAACACTTTTTTCTCAAGGACTTTTTGAAAGTATTGTTACACTCTTCGTCCCAATAAAGCATATCAACTCTGGCAGCAGTCATTTTAGGTTTTAGAACCCTAAGTGGTACCAATCCACAAATTTAAACCCCTAATAGGTACGACAAGCAGCCCTGTTGCTTTTATAGGGGAGTCCCCGTGCATTGTGTATGTAAAATTTTAAATGTATAAGCTTACATAAATCTCTTATCACTTATTGACTTTTACTCTATCACAACTATGTTTTATAGGTTTAAGCGCCAGATTGGTTCATCTTTGTTGCAGAGGTACTAACCTCTGAAGAACTTAATTAACCAATTAAACCTGGCCCTTTATGATCGAAAACTCACCCCACCGTACGCCACCCCTCAATTACAATACAAACACAAATGTACTATCCATTTGCCGGGCATTGTGGCGCATTTTGTGGGCCAAAATGGAGAATTTAGCAAGCAAAAATATATTTTAGTTCAAAATTCAAATCATGGCTGTGAACATACAAAACAACAAAGAAGTTGTAAATTCTCAATCTTCTCAGTAGAGGAAGAAGATTGTCCATTAAGTTGCATGATGCTGGCTGGAGATTTCTGCTTGAGTGCTGTGGAGTGGTAGGCCATATTAAATTTGTTTCGTTTGGACCTACCTGAACTTGTCCAATACAGCGCACGTAAAATAGCACTGGAGAGATGCACTTGTAAGTAAGGCTTTATGGTCATGCTATGTAAGTAGTCCGTCAAGCTGATCTTCTGATCATGGGGCCGTGTTTCCCCCCTTTGCACCACATGTTTTGTTGTCATGTTTTTATTAGACTTCAATAATATTTAAATCCTACCTAAAGGAACTGCGACATTAATGACCCTAAATGGAACCTGATTCACTCAGTTTTCTAACCCTAATTAAATAGACCTATTGGGCTAACTCAATGTTGTACCCAATTCAAACCCTTTGGGAATAAAACGTTTTGTTTCAGGAATTTCCATATCATTTAAATGTGAAAACCACATTATAATGCAAATACAATACACAAAGAATCTTATCCCCGGGAGATTTGAATTGGGTACAACATTGAGTTAGCCGAATAGGTCTATCACTTAGCTTCAACAGTGTAGTGTGTAGTCCATCCTAGAGTAGTCCATATGGGTTGTCCACAGGCGTGGTCAATGGACTGGGGGTCAGTGTTTTGTCCACCACCATTGTGCTTTTGCAGGGCACCAAATTATGGGCTTATTTTCTGATCTGATTTGTCATTTCCTTGTTGGAGGTGGTAGAACATTTTTTTACCAAAGGTTCCACAGCTGATGACATTCAGCAGGGAAATAAAAAAGTAATTACCGTATTTATTTGAAAAAGCACCCGACCTCGAATAAGCGCCCACCCCGCCCCCTTCCTCCTCCCAATGAGACACTTCCCCGAAGACAGAGTTTTCTTCGGGGACAGAGTATTTATACAGAAACCTTACTTTGTTACATCTTTGCATTTTGTTATGACCATTTTTAGCATAATAAACATACTACACTTGCTGAAAATGTTGGCCTCAAATAAGCGCCCACCCTCAAGATCGAAAAATTTAGCAAGTGCCTAGGGGAGTTAATCAGATAAATACATTAAAGAACTTATTAATTCCCCACTTCTCATTAATAAACTAATATGTGTCCACATTATTAATTTTATTTTAAGCAGGCATTTCAGCCAATACATCACCCAGAAGTAGTGTTTCATACAGGCAACAATTTACTTAAAAGTTTCCTGTCTGGGATTCAGTTGAATTTATTTCCTCCAAACAACTGTGAATGCAAGAGAAAATTCCAGAGAACAATTCTGATTTTCTCATAAGATTTTGGTAAATGTGAGAGATTAGAACTTTTCATCATCAAATAAATCCTGTTAGTATTAATGCACTGAAGGGTTTTACAGACTCTTGCTCTTTTTTCAGGTGTTACAAGAAATTAGTCCTGACTTAGAAAACTTTGGACACAGAGTTGCTACTGATATACACTCCATGGGAAAAGAGTGTGAGCTTCAACCACCAAGACTTGAATATTTTGATGCATGGGGCCAAAGAGTGGACAATATCCAGACATGTCAAGGATGGAAGCAATTACATGATGTTGCAGCTGAAGAAGGACTGATATCTATTGCTTTTGAAAGGAAATATGCCCAATGGAGGTATTATCCTTTTTTTTTGTTTATACACTGTATGTTCCTAGCATTGCCACATACATGTAAGGCAAAAGAAGTCATTTTTACAACCAGAGATCAAATTTTACAACCAAAGTTCACAAGGCTGAGTTCAAAAAAGCTGAAAGGAGCCTAGTACTCTGAAACTGTGAAATCCAGGGTGGCGAATATAATACATGTACATTTCTGGAGTCCATCATTCTTATTCCGAGTTTTGGTCATATAAGTTAAGATTTTTCTAATGTTCATTATAAATCCCAACTTATTGTTGATTTTTTTCAAATGTTATTTGTTGTCAAGTCGTTTATATCAAGCTGCAAAACTGTTTATGTTTTGCCCATCATCTGGTTTGTACTCCTGTCCACTAGCGATGACTGATGGTGCAGCCAAAACAGTTGAGGTATGGAAATTATTTCTTTTCTTTGCTTAAAAGAAACGTGTACATCAGTTACAATGGGTGTCAACTGCTTTTGTTTGGGATAATTTCTTCGTCATCATGTTGCATTTATTGTATCCTAGGTAACTTTACTAATTGCTTGGGACTGAGTAGTGTGGTTACCGTTACATAGCTAGCTGCCCATTTTCCCATGCACATCACCCAATCATTCCAAAAGAAATGTCTTTTAAGCTTTTCTATACTATGGTAATGAATTTAGCCCCTTTTTCCCCTAAAACCAAAACATTTTCAATTCAAAAGTTCAAATTATTACTGCTTTTTGTAGCATTTTGTGCTTTTTCTTTTGACCTCTAAAGTTTTCTTCTGTCATGACAGTCATTGAAATCATTTAAGGGCTAGGCCAGTCTGTGTCTTATTGTGAAGAGGGAGTGGGATGGGCTGAAAATGTGGGACTGCAAAAGATGAAGTCTCCATTTTTCCAACTGCTACAACCATATCTTGGTTAACCTAGGTAGGCATTGTGGTTACCATAATTTTTCCTTCATTTAAATCGTGCATTATCATTATGTTTCCTTTAGGAACGACTCTCAAACATGTGACTTCATGAATATTACATTGACATCTGCATAAAAATAACTTAAATACTTGAATAGAAGTTTTTCAAAATGATATGATATTTCATTTGCCTGCAGGTTGCTGGTCTAACAAAGCAGGCTAGTATGTTACAGGACGCGTACAAGCATTTAATAAGCAGAGATCCCAAGACATTCTGGACTTCAGGTCAATGGATGACTGAGCGGAAAGGAGGTTCAGATGTTGGTAAGTGCTTATACTGCATGCACACGTAGCAAATAACCATGAAGACAGAGAACAAAAGTGAAAGTGATGAAGGGGATTTATAAATCACTGGACTCAATATTGATAGAAAATAGTACATTTTTCCCTCTAGCACTTTGAACGTTTTGGTACTTAATATGTTCTTTGACTGTTTTACAGGAGCAGGTCAAAAGTTTGTACTCAAAATCGATTTTTCAACATTTATTAATATGGAAGTGTACTTCCAGGGCCAGTACAATATAAACTCAGTTTACTGTGAAGTTTATTAACTGAGACCTTCAAGTTTGGTACTCCTTTAAGGTAGAAGATCAGAAGCTATTCACATAAGACTTCATATCAACAACACCACCTGCAGGGACAGTGAAATTGAGATTCCAGAAACATGAATGCCAGCATCCCAGTGGTACCACAGCAGACCACTGAGAAAACGGTTTCTTCCTCGGTCAATTTAATACCAGCAATTTTAGCTATGGATTGAAACCCACCAACCATGAGTGAGGTTTGGGTTACACGATTAATCACAAACAACCATGGTAGTACTAATAGGTTGGTAAATCAACACCATTGCCTGATGAAAACCTGTAGTACATTTGATTTTCAAACAGCACAAAAATTGGTTAGACACACCCTCAATTTTCTGGGAAGTGACTGTGGATTGCACTCTGGTACAATGTAACTGAAAGTTCACAGGAAAATGTAGCTGCAGGCTAACTAGCCAAGACAAATGAAATACAACCAGCCAGTAATCATACTAGTTCTTCATATTTTTGTAGCAAATGGCACAGAGACAATAGCGGTTCCCCAGGGTGATGGCAGCACCTACAGACTGTTTGGTTACAAGTGGTTTAGCTCAGCTACTGATGCTGATATAACTCTTACACTGGCTAGAGTACAGAACCCTGATGGAACAACACAACCTGTAAGTTGTGCATCTGCCTATCCAAGGTCCCAACAATTTTTTTTTTTATTGACTTCGTCTCGATTTAACAGTTACATTCTCCACTTGCACATCTCCCTAAATGCACCTAATATGCCCCCAAAATTTTGTACAAGCATTTTTTTCAGTTTCTTTTGGGACAGCTGTAATACCCAGGAGAAATGAAAAACAAAGGTTAAGCAAAATTTTGGTGGACAAACACGGTGTATTATGGGAGATGTGCTTTCTTTTGGCGTGAGAAGAGGTACAAACAGTTAAAGATCAACTTGTCGTGGGATAGATATTTTGCTCTTTCACCATCTTCATTTTTTCTTGATTAACTCTTAGGGCCAGTTATTTAAACAGAGTTTAGCCAGTGTCTAACAAAACCCCTGTTCTAAGCCATTTTCAGTTTGCCGAACGCTTTAATGTAAACACCATTTATCGTGAACAGTTTAATGAAAGCATTTAGCGTATAACTAGAGAAGCAAATTGTCTTCTTAAAATAACCCACTGATGAAGAGCTCTGGAAGTCCAAAGGTTTCTTAAACCGCGGTTTAAGTTAGACTTTGTTTAAATCACCGAGCTTTAGGTTTTTCAAACCTTTATTAATCGGCCATATAGGCAATTAATAAAGCAAAAGTAACGTGGTTTCTGTGTTTTTGTTTTTTCAGGGAACCAAGGGCCTCACCATGTTTTTTATGCGGACACGAAATGAAGATGGGACACTGAATAACATCGAAATTCAGGTAGTGTTTAGGCTCAATAGAACTTTCCACGGTTTTTTCAACTTTGACATGGACAAGAAAATCCGTCAATTTCGCTGGAAAGAGCGGCTTTAGATTTGTAAAGTTGCCAAGTTTGAAAGTGAAGAATAGCTCCCCAAACGAAGATGTAGCTTCTCAAAGTCAGGGACACAAACTTGCTTCTTCCCCCCCCCCCCCCACCCCACTACACAAACGTCTGTACTTTTTCGCAACTCTGCGAAGCTATATATATAGAGGTATCGCTTTCAAACAAAGCAATTGTACTAATTTAAAGGCGCTCACGCATAAACATTTAAGCCTGTGATCGAAGAGCTCATGGCCATGTTTTTCTCACCAATATTGTCCATTTATGTTGTAGAGACTGAAAAATAAACTGGGTACAAGACAGCTGCCCACTGCTGAACTTCTTCTTCACGGATCGCTTGCTCACAAGGTAAATACGAAAACAACTCGTTTTTCCGTTAGAAAAGAAAAGAAAAGAAAGGAATAATCCTGTCGGGGACTCAGTTTTTTTCTTTGTCCCACGCTCGTGACATGCTGATCATTTCATTTTCACAGGAATAATAACTGTCTGTTAATAACCCCCATCCACACATTTCTCTCACCTTGTCATATTCCCGTTCAGTTATCTCGTTCACGCCTTCCTCAGTATTCAGAGCACGTTTTAGCTGACATGTGAATTTGTGGACATTTAACTATTCGTCGCTTTTTTGCCATGGCTTCAAAACGGCAATTTTGGTGTATATCAAGTTCCAAGGTTATTAGTATAGTCCTGTTTTTTTGGATACAAAGGAATTTCTCGCCCTGAGCCCAGTTTGACGTATATGTAGCCTTAGAAAACAGCCGATATTTCACGACGCCACCACTGGTTTCCCAGCGAAATGACGTCTGATAAACGAGCGAAGAAATTCCATACTGATGACGTGTCACTACCCAAATCTGGGTAGTGCTTCTGATTGGCTGAAGCAAATTTCCCCCGTGCAGGACCAATCAGTAGCCCTAAATATATCTGGGTAGCGATAACCTGCACGTAGCTTGAGAAAACAGCCGACATTTCACGACGCCACCACTAGTTTCCTCGCGAAATGACGTCTGAGAAACGAACGCAGAAATTCCATTGCCAGATGTGGGTTGTGATACGTCATCAGTATGAATTTTTTTTGGCGTTTTTTCCTCAGTTGGTAGCGTCACGAACTTGATGTCGGCATTTTCCTCAGGCTAACGTATTATTTTTGTGCGGCTCAATTTTATCCTTGGATTGTGTTTTATTTTCCAAAACAATGCAAAATGAAAGTTTAAAACAAGGATAAAATTAAACCTCAGCACCTATATTAGCCATATCATCTGTTAAAAAAACTTGCGTTCAAAATTGTTACATCTAATTGCTTGTTTTGCTGAATATTTTTTAGATGTCTGAAGAAGGCCGTGGAGTGCCCTGCATCTCCGACATGTTAACAGTAACGCGCTTTCACAACAGTATATCTGCAGCTGGAATTATGAGAAGGTAAAAAGAAAAACACTCTCCTTTGTCTCCGGGCGTTGTTGTTGTTAGGTATCTGTTGAATCATTTGCTGTGTCCTTTACCCTCATTACGTTCAGCCGAATCTATTCATTTCAGGATAATGACTCTGGCTCAGGATTACTGCGTGAGAAGATCAGTATTTGGTAAATTACTGGTCAACCATCCTCTTCATATGCAGACACTGGCTAGAATGGAGGTAACATGTTTCACTTGCTGCCTTGTACACAAGTTTAATAGCGGAACTCTTATCTGTGCCGCGCGAGAAAGCGTATAAGCAGGTCCCGGCCATATCACCAGACTACTAGCAGTCCCTTAGTTCCTTCAGGGATAGTACAGCTAGCGCAATTCGCGAACGCGTGTGAAAATCGCTTCTCACGAGTGTGTGGCAATTTTTCACCCTTGCGCGCCCATTTTCCTTACTGCAGTAAGCCGGTTTCGAATTTTCAAGATCATTCTTGGCTTCGAGGATGAAGGGAATAAAACAATGATTCCTGAATCGCAATACGATGCAATTTTCTTTTGCTGTAATCCCCTCAGCCTCTTAGCCAAGTATGAATTTCAATAATTTAAATAATTCGAGACTGTCTTATTACACAACTTGTCCAAAATAGTGACACGTGGGCGTAGGCTTAGTCCTCCTGTTGAGGGTTGAAAGGTAAACGCCCTACTGCCAGGCTTAATTTTACTGACAGTTTAATTTTGTTTTTGATCAGGTGGAGACCCGTGCAGCCTTTCTACTCACTATGGAGGTCGCCCTTCTGCTTGGTAAACAGGAGTGTAATGTGTCCTCAGATGAAGAGGTGCATCTTTTGAGACTCTTAACACCAATCGCAAAACTGTACACCGCAAAACAGGTGAGTCAGGTTCAAACATCACACTAGAAACATGTCTCACGACTCTTCCACACGCATCCGGGTATTTTTGGAAACGGAAACATGTTTCCCAATCACGGAAAACTACGCGTCCACTTGTAGCGTATGCGAATCGTTTTCGCCCGTCCATACGAAAACGCTAAAACAGTAGAAATATGATCAGGGCATGTGCTGTATGATGTATGACATCATCGTATCAAAAAAACCTTTGTTTGCGTCCCCGGTCCGTCCACACGAAAACGAGAAGCCGGCGTTTCCGTAAAAAACTCCTTTCTAGGGACTGTTTGCGAAAACCTGCGTTTACGTGTGGACGGAAGGCTGATATAAAACGCAGAAAAAATAAAAAAAGATCCCGATACGTGTGGACGGGGTCTCGGGTGGAGTCATATCGTAGATCGTTTGCCAGCGGAAAAATGTCCAACGATCACGGAAGGTACCTAAATCTCTTGCTGAAACCTCAGTTATCATTGGCGATTACATGGAAACTTTCTATAATGTAGTTCCCAACATAAGCTCCTTGCGGTTAGGAGTCGTATATGGCGAAGTACTGCTGCAGCATTTTTTATACAGCTGAGTTAATTTTGTGAGAAGCTATTCGGTTTAATACACTTTAAGTTTATAATTAAACGATTTAAGTTTAAATTTTACATGACATATTTGAGTATAATATGTTCTTATACCCAAATGGTGTTAACATCCTAGATTTTCTTCACCGCACAGCGTGCAAAGAAAGTACTGTCCGATAGCCCGGGGCTAGTGGATTTTGCTATCGGGCTAGTGAATTCTGTTTTTAACTTGCCCGACGGGCAAGTGATGTTTTATGAGGAATTTGAATAACAGAAGAACAAAAAGTTTTTAGGGCTAGTTGAAATGACGTCTGGGCTAGTAAATGCTAGCTTCAGCTTGCCCAAATGGCAAGCTGTAAAAATGATTTTCTTTGCACCCTGTCGTATATCCGCATCAGTTAGTTCATACAGTATTCACAATAATCAATTAACCCCGTTCGCTTGAAATTATACTCAAGGGTTCTGCTTTATTCAGGTATATTTTCAGCATTTTAAGAGTCTTTTATAACCTGCGTGTTAGGCGTTAAAACGGGAAGGGAAAGGGGGAATTTGGGAACGCACTCTAAAGCGCGCGAGACACTCGAAGAGGAGGAAATAGGGAACGCCTGCAAGGAAGCTATTGTTTTCTCCGTTTTTCACGCAATCCGCAGTGGTGGATCCAGTCCTTCAGATGAGGGAGGGCCCGGTCATCCAGACCCTGAGATAAGAGGGAGGGGGGGGGTTCAAAAAAAGTTTTTTCGGACCTTTGTTTGGTCTAGAAATAAGGGGGGGCGGCCCCCGGTCCCCTCGCATGGATCCGCCGCTGATCTGATCGTGAAAATAGTGTTAATTAATTGGACTCTCGCGCGCCTAAATTTCCCTTTTTTTAACGCCTTCCACGCAGGCTAAACTCTTTTAGGGAATTGTTTATTAAGCAAGGATCCTATCATTTGTCATTTTCCAGTCCGTGCAGGTGACCTCAGAAGGCTTGGAGAGTTTTGGTGGCCAAGGGTACATAGAGGACACAGGTTTACCAGGTTTAATGAGAGATGCACAGGTAACGCAAGTTATAGCAGACAGTGTCTATATACCGTTCTGCGGGCTTAACTCTGTTATTTTGCAATTCTTTCAGTGTTACTATATTTGACTTACTGTATTTTTAAGGTATTGCCTATCTGGGAAGGAACAACCAATGTTCTGTCATTAGATGTACTGAGATCCGTGTTCAAAAGTGAAGGACAGGTAAAGTGCTGTTACCACTTACATTAGAGACCTAAAGATTCAAAAACCAGAACGACTACAATTACGAGGTTTGATATAAAGTTTTATCGCGTATTGTCAAGAATAGGCCCCAAAGAATGTTTCATAATGCATTTTTTTTTTAACCAGAAAATTTATCAATGTTATCTTTATTGAAGGAGGTTAAGCCCTCTCCCGATGAAAACATGATAAAACTTCAAACTTTTGATAACTTGTTTCCCCGAGTCGGTCATTACGACATTCTCGCTAAAACGCGTAGTAGAATGACGACGGTTACCTCGTTTTCCCGCCAAAATGACGCTGTTTCACCCGTGAGCACAACTTAGCACTGAGAAAATCTCGTACTCGTAGTCTTGCTTGTCTTAAAATCTAAAGGTCTCCCTTAATTTCATCTCAACAACGAGCTTTTCTTGTGCCTTCCTAATGACAGGAAACGTTAAAACGCTAGTGGGCAGAGTAGGACAAACACCCAGGGTGTTGAAAGGGCAAAAGTACTGCCTTAGCTTTGCAAGAAACCATCTACTTATCCAGTCACGCGTTTTTTTTTGTTGTTGTTTGTTTGTTTGTTTGTTTTTTTGCACTTTCCATCGGATACCGGACTCTCTCGCCCAATGCCCGTTAGCACAAAGCTGCCATTCTAAGCGGTCATGTGCTCTTTCAACACCTTGGGTGTTTGTCCTATTCAGCCCACTAGCGTTTTGACGTGTCCTGTCATTGTACTCGGTTTTCTCGACTGTTTACGTGTCTCACGAGTCAGCACAAACTGTATACGGGACTGTTTGCCCATTCCAAGATGTAGTGATTAAACATTAGATTACCTTGACGTCTTGACTTCACAGGTCTTGAAGGCATTCCACGCTTGTGTTTCTGAAAAGCTGTCAAAGGCGTCCTCATCCTGCCCTGCTCTGAACAGTTTATGTGAACAAGTTCAGTCTTCAATGAACAGTCTGTTGTCTCCCAAAAACCACGAGCTACTCTCTGACTCGCTACCAGCGCGTGATCTGGCTTTCAGCTTGGGAAGGATCTACATAGGTATGCTGTCTTACTACCCCAGTTTGTTGTTGTTGTTGTTGTTGTTTTTGCATCACTTATACGATTAATCTGTTTACACTACGAGTAAACGGAGCTAACTATGATTCTCCTTTCTCTCGGGTATCGATTTTCACCCGCACTTTGTTCCCTGAGTGTATACTCCGTAACAATTTCACTGAAAGCTTTACGATTTCTTATATACACTCTATGAGAGTGTTTGTTCACAATCCCCAATTTTTCCCTGTGAAGATAGATTATCGAGGTGGTCAATCGCTGTATTCAAGAGGCCACTGTAGACGATGAAACTAATATCAAAACCAACCCAATATTAAGCGTACACTCTTTGTTAAGTAGACGAGTGGGTTAGTTTGTTTCAAACATTTTCCCCATAATTTCTGGCACAACGAAACTGTGTTTAGGGGACCGCTCTGTAAGGGGACAGCAGCGAAGTTTCCGCAAGTTTCTAGCATCCCACCACGGTTGATTACTTAAAAAGTTTCAAACAGGGAGGCTCCGCCGCGAGGTCCAACCTCTTACCCTCTTCTAATACCATTTTTTGTCAGAAAAATGTACCCCTTTCGTTTTCGTTCCATTGATAAATGGTACCCCTTTCACAGACCTAGTTTAGAACTTTGCACCCCCTTTAACTGCTAAGATGCATTGTCTTTAAAGAATGATTAAATCTCAAAGCCAGAACGTTTTCTCGACTCCTTCACAGTCATAAACTGCATCTATTAGCCCTATTGGGCCTTTTTACCCACCGAAACGATACATTTCCCAACCCTTTCAAATACTTCAACAAGTGAATTTAGTTTTCTCCTAAAATTTGATTGCTATTTCTTCCAGCGTCGTTATTTGTCGAGCATGCTTCATGGAAAGAGGCCACTGAAAGAGATATTGAAGCCGCCAAAAGGTAGGATAATAATAAAACTGTAAGTCAACGGTAAATTTGTTCAGACTGCATGGTTCAAAGCAGAATTAAAAGAAACATTTTTATAAACCTTTAGGTGGTGTCATCAAGACTTGACCCCAGTCCTTACGCAACTCAGAAACAACGCGTACGGCGCTAAGAGTTCTGCTTGTGACCTGGCACTGGTTATGGAAGGACATCCGGAGTTAGTCATTTAAGAAATGTGACGATCTTTTATTAAAACACAAGCTTATGACAGCAACTCCCATTTCTCTCACGTCCATGAACATACTGAAAAAATCTTCGGCCCATCTCGGGTGTAAGTAGGAGACAACAAGTGAAGATGATCATCTACTGTACTTACCGATTTACTCAGCTACTTGCTTAGCTACCAAGAGCCGAGTAGCTGCCTATTTATGTAACTTTATTGACTTGGTTATTGCCTGATTTATATCTACGTACGTGCCAAGCTGCCTACATTCTGTACTCCTCGTCCGTCTCCGTTATATTCGACTTCACCTTTGAAATGTGAGCAACACAGTTGCAAACTCCTTTTGTCTACATGTAGGATTAGCCAACTAAACACGTAATTTGGCCATAACAATAAAGAACTGAATTTACAATGGACTTTATAAGTAATATATGTTATCTGCACAGTAAAATCAAATGAAGTGGGTATTTTTTTAATAGTGAAGCCCATATATTTATCTCGACCGGTTAATTTATTACCTTAGTACGTATGTTCTACCAGTTGCATGGTAATATAAATACTTGTCTGGAAAAAAAAAAATTGCCTCTGTGCCTTTCTTTCATCACCTTCTCAAGTGGAAGGAAAAATAGTTTTAGATGTCTCGAAAAAAAAAACTGTTACGGTGTATAGAATTGTTGTCCGAAAGAATGCTTGGGAAAGTAAATTCTTATAAGTTACAACATGAAATTCTTATAAGTTTCAAATTCTTAAAATTCTTATAAGTTACAGAAAACCTATGTGAATATTAGTATGGATTTTGCGCGCTCACGTCCAAACAGACAATATTGCCTTTAGCATGAGGGCACTTTATACATATCGTTGATTGGGTTGTGATTTATTTTAAGTAATTATATTTGTTTGGAGGGATGTTGATTAAAGAAGATGTACGCATGCCTGTTGTCGAGGTGACCGCTGGCCAACAGTCACTGTACAAATCATGCGTGGTGTAGGGCAGGGAAAAACCAAGAAAGTGTATGTAAGTGGACACCTTGTTTTGTCCTGAAGCTGTTCACAGCTCTCTATTCCCCATCCCCACAGCTATATGCTCTTTCTTAGTTTTCGCTTGTCTTGTCAAGATGGAGTTTTCAGTCAAGAATACGCCGTTTAAAGGTCTTTAAATATTAACAATTTGAGTTTGAGAGCAGTGTAGTGAATGCGTACTAGTCCCATCCAAAGGAAGTTTCTGTAGTTATAAAGGTTTTCAGGATTTATTGTATCAAAGGCAAGATTAAAAAGATAGAGCAAATGTTGAGTTGTTAAAGTTGTCATGTAATTATATATTTGAACTTTATAATAAGGATAGACCTTGCAAAATTCTCTTTATCGTGAATTTTCTTCTTAAATAGCGCTAAAATCACGATATTATAAGTCTAGTTTTGGTAGCAACTACATCTCAAGACCAGCAACAGAATTTTCCAAAAATTCCCTTTTTATTGTGATATATAAAACACATTCAGTTTAAATACTATTTATTACAAGGTACCCATGCTATTAAAAAGTCATGCTTTTCATTTCAGTTTCATATAAAATTCTTTTTCTTTGTTTCCTTTCCCTCCCTTATTTTTTAAAACTGAACATCACTGATTGAAACCAACGTAGATTCACCCGATCAGTTAATAAATGACGGAAATCAGGTAAAAAAGTGGACAAAGTTCAGAAAAACGTTTGTTCGAGAAATCGTGCGGTCATTCCAAACGAGTTAAACAGACGCTTGCAAGCAGCTCCTTATTGGCTAGTTCAGAGCATATTTCTTTTTTCGATAAGTTAGAATGAGCCAAAAAAAACCCAGAAAAGTAATGTTTAAGGTTAAAACAAGGCAAATTGGAAACCTCTTATTGTGACAGTTAATATAATGCTTTCACTATCATATAGCTTTCCGCATCCTAAATCTGCGTCTTGTAGGCATCACCATAGTATTTCGTTTCGGAGCCGGCAATTTTTATCACATCGTTTAAGAGTAGCCTGAATTTCAGACATTCCCTCGAGTCACATACTCCTCTCGTTGCTGAGAGGAGTACAAAACAAAATAATCACTGACGATATGCTTGTTAGAGCGCGAATTCTCTTTTTAAGCAACGTTTTCGCTGACGTCGCTTTCGTAGGTGCGTAAGCTAGCCATTGATTTACTAAGCCTATAAAGTGCTTTATCGATGCTTAGCCATGACGCAACAATGCTTTGGGCACCAACTCATACAAAATCGTTCACAGGTCACGGAGCACTGACCTATCAATTGCCGAGACTGCTGACCAGGTGACCGCGGAAGATAGCTCCTAATAACTGGAGCAATGTGCTGTGTACGATGATCTAAAAGGAAAAGAAATAATGAGATTTTAAAATCATTTGATGGCAGAGCATGCACAATAGCTGTTTTAGGCATTTAGAGCGCTGTCGTCACAGGTTAAATAGCAGGGGCACCCTTTCTAGTGGAAATTAGGGGTTTTGTTATTTAAACCTTGCTGGGATGACCAAATTTGAATATGAAAAGAAAAACGAAAAGGATTCTGGTCTTAGTAGTAAAATGACGCCATCGCGCAAATGGCCCATTGTTGTCAGTATAATTTCAAGATTTCATTGGCTTTTTGTTTAGCTTTTTAGCTTGTTTGTTTGTTTGTTTTCCTTCCATACTTACAATCCTGACCATCTCTGCTATCAGTGCCTTTGTCTGAGGGTTTCGTTCATACGGTAAAGGCCTTAGTAGCTGTGTGTTTTAAACATCCGGAAAATATTTACCCTGCCACGGTTGTTTTTTACTTTTTACATGGGTTAATTAGAAAAAATCCGTCAGCACTACTGGAAAAAGCGCCTTTAAATCAGTAAAATTGCCAAGTTTGAAAGTGGTTTGTTAAAAATTAACGGAGGTATAGCTCCTTAAAGTCGCGAAATTGTACAGATGTTCGCATGGTGGTATGGGGGGCACAAACTTGGGGGGGGACAAACTTGCTCCCCACCATACTATACAAACGTCTATAAATTTCCACGACTTTGAGGCGCTATATCTTTGCTCGCTTAAGACATATCACTTTCAAACTTGACAATTTTGCTAAATTTTAGACGCTCTTGCCAGTGGTGTCAACAGATTTTCCCTAACTGGTCCATGTCAAAAGTGGAAAGAACCGTGGAAGGGTTTATTATGCTTACAAGATTTAGGTGCTCCTAACGTTAGTTTGCAAAGTCGCGTGCTAGGAATAAAATTTTGAACCCAGCAGATAGTGTAGACTTTCTTACGTACCTGTTGGTTGACAATAACCCCATTTTTTCTCCTTGTCAAAGTTGGGCGTTGTTGCGCACCAAGAACGTTGAGTCTGTGGGTCAACCAGACAGCGGCTTACCGCAGCTCCGCGGTATACAAAAGGAAGCGCACAACATTTTCCACTGTACGTGCTGAGACATGGTGTTACTGAAAGTTTTAAAAGATTATCACTGACGTAAGTATGCCGCCGGACACCTCAGCGATAGTGATAATGATAACCCTCGGTAATATTTGTAGCACTCATGCTAGTGGGCCTAGGAAATTTCTGAAACAAATAGTTGACATCAAACTTAACACGGTTGAGAGTCCCAACTGGCCGGAGGCAAACCAGGTAGTTATTTACTAGCGTGGCCGAGGGCATGATTTCGGGACTACCGAGAACAAATTCAGCACAGCACGCGGTAAGGACAAGGCTAGGCCTTGAATTCGGGGCTTCCGAATTGCAAGTTCAGCGCTCTAACGCTCGGACTTTGACTGTAGAAATTCCTACATTTTATTTTAGGTGATGTATAGATTTCTCGTTCCGCGTTGCCGACAAACAAACAGAACAAGACAAGACAAGACAAGACAAACAAACAAACAGAAAACATCTTACCTGGGCATGGCGTCTGTATGCATGTCCTTGTCTCTAGAGTCTTTCCACTGCAGATCTTTCCTGGCATACAGTAGCGTGTTCTTGTTTGTATACTCCTTCCACAAGTGGCCGCACATAATCCAAAAGCGGTCCATTGTGAAAAGTTCTCGTCTCCTCTGACAGTTTTCCTTGCTGCTTCTCTTGATCCTTCGTACTCATCTGCTGCGCGAAGATGTTCAATTTCTGCCAAGAGTTCAGTCAGTTATCTTAGAATGCGATTTTAATTTGTATTACATCCCAATGTGCCACGAAATACAATTTCGCGTTGGGAATCCATCTCACAGGACGATTTCGTGTCGCACTTCGGCTGGGAGCGACAGTAGATTTCATAAAGAATTGACGTGACTTTTTAAAGGTGAAAAAAGGTAAAGGCGCACACGAGCCAAAGGCACAATTTACTGGAGCTTATCCCGGTTTCCTTAGCATGAAGCATGCCTAGAAGTATTGCTACTCCCACTCGGACGGGATGCGAGTTCATCGTAGGGCCCGTTTTGACTTTTTAATCTCAGTTCGCGCCATTTGGAACTTTATTACTCTAGTGTAATTTGTTTCTTGTTGGGGAATTCTTCTGAAGTTGTTTCTAAAGGACGATATCTTGCATTCACGTCCCCCATAAAAAGTAAAACTAGGAAGTTTCACGTCGTAGTTGTGCAACGACGGCAAAGAAATGTACAAAAAAGCGTGATGCACGTACAAAGTTGTTGTTTTGCTAATTTTGCCGTTCTCGTTGCCGTCGCTGTTGTCGTTTGCTTAAGCTCCTATCACATGGGTTAGAATCAGTATGGGATTCTGGGAACTCTCCACACCTACCCCTCCCCTAACCCAGCTTTAATACTGTGGAAGTTAGGGGAGGGGTAGGTGTGCAGTTTCCAAGTCTTCCGTTGTTACCCACCGTCGTTTGATATTTGTCCATGATGTGACAGCAACACAGTCCTGAATGGTAGGTCACATCCTCCTGGCGTGACAGCGATTGCGTTATTATTGTTTAGCATCACCTCGTTGTCTTTATCATCGGCGTCACGCGCGTAGAAGATCACGTGATGGTGCTTGTGCGGGTGTTTAAAGACAGTCTTGAGTTTAAAGGTCTCTGCAGTGATGAGGTAGCCTCCCAGCTTCATGCTAGACACCAGTTGGATAGGCTTGCGAACTTTATTGATGAATTTAAGACTGATGCATTTGTCTGAGGAGAGAATTAACTTAACCTGTTCTTACAGCTCTCAAAGTAAAGTGGGTCTCCTCATGGAAAATTGAAATATTTTCGTAAATCATTCAAATTTTTTGCTCACTACGGGTAAATCCTTTTACCAAAAAATAAACTTTGAACATTTTTGCGTTTCTAGAGTTTTCTTAAGGTAACTTTTTAACAGTGATTGTTATGATAAATGTATTGTATTGTAGCCTGCGTTTGGGGGAGTCGCGAGTAGTCACGCGAGGGAACTCGCGGCTCCCTTCGCTTGCCATGTAAAATGGAGCAAAAATTGTTTATTCTCATACAAACACAAAAATCGTGTTGAAACGCCAAAACAAAATGATTCCCTATATTGAACAAGAACAAACTAGGCCACAGAATAATTGTTGTTATGACCTGGTCGGACAAGTAATCATTTAGAGTGCAAAAGAATAGATGTCGATTTGCGAATAGCTTTAAGTTTTGAAACGTCCTTTGCCTTACCTTGTTTTTGTAGTTTCTCTCACCTTGTTTATCTAAATCTTTACTGTCATTGTCTAGGTTTTCGCTGGTTTTATGCGGGAAATTTTGCGCTATTCCCTGTGCATTATGCTGATACTGAACTCTGTTTCCTTCTAAGCTCTGCTTTCCAACGGAGGCTATTCCCTGCCACTCGGATCTTATGGGATGCTGATAATTGTAACCTCTGTACAGCAGTGGAAATTGTGTGTATGGAAATTGTGTCTGCACTCCGGGACTTTTAACTGCGAACTGGTGTTGCAATGGTCTTCCTGAACGTACGGGCATATTTATGAAATTAGGGCCAAGAGGGCTTGCTTGAGGGGAGATGTGATTACTAATAGGTTTTGTTCGCAGGGGCATTTGTTGATTTAGGTAAGGCAAAGGCTGGCGAAATGCCTGAGGTTGCGGTCTTTGTTGATGTTGTGGTTTATGTAAAAAAGGTAAACCAGCAGCCCCTTTTGTGTAGTGCTGCCCCATTTGTTGTGTTCCCTGTCGACCGTTTTTCAGTGCGGCGTTTTGAAAAAGTCCTAAGGCCTTGGCTGTAATCTGTGCCAGTTGACCAGGAAGTGACAACTGAGCTGGACCAGAAAGGTTTGGACTGTCAGTCGGAAATTCGAAATGAAGATCAAACTGCTTTGGTCCATTTTTATTTAGCGCTAGTGGATGCTGACCACTTGCACTCTTTTGCTGATGATTTAACTTTGTTAACGCAGGACCTTCTAATTTTCCAAGGTTTGAATTCTGAGCTGTACTAAGTTCCATCTGGGCTGGTTGTTTCGCAGCCATAAAAGCACCCTGTAAAGCGTTTTGCAAATCGTCTGCCACTGATCCCTCTGCTTTAGACCCAGAAACTGGATTCTTTTGTTTTGCCCCCAAGTCTTTGTTGCCATTATTTTTTGTACTTTGCGAAAGTCCCGCGGAAGGATCCTGACCTTTTTTCTCTTCCGTTTTCAACGGCTGTTTTCCTTTTTGGGCACCAGCCATACCATTCGTCTCTTTTTGAAAACCTGTCTTCGACATTGGCGTGTTTTGTGTGAAGTTTGTTACAAGTGGGTCTGTCGAGGCTTTCTGGTCATTTAGTGGTTTACTGACGTTAGAATGGGTTGCTTTCTTCGTAGAATTCACGACTGTTTTATTTACCGACGCTTTATCCATAGTTTTGGTCGCGGTGGTGTTTCCGAACGAAGTCGAATTTAATAGCGGTTTAGACGATGCTTGATCGTTTTTAGCTGTCCCATTTTTCTTGCTCAAAACATGTCCTATAGTTTTATCAACTGGGTTTGCGGTCCCATTTCCAACAACAAGTTGTTTCGCTAAATTTTTCACAGAAACGTCGTTAGAAATAATGTCCGTGATGTTGTGAATACTTTGCCTTGAGGATGCGTCTTCTTCTTTCATAGTCTTCCCCACAAAGCTCTTCTTGCGAGTTGGATTTTGTGCCACAACCATGTATAAACATCCTACGAGAAACTCATTGCTTCCTATTTCGAGCTTCTTCGCAACGAGACCAAATTTACTTTTGGTATCATGACACATGAACCAGCCTGGATGATTAAAAAGTTCGTAAGCAGATGCTCCTTTAGTTTGAGTCTTTCTTTCGATGAATGTCGAATCTTTCTCTGGAATGAAAATTCGGGTATTTTGTCAGTATAATTCAGTTCCTAGTACTAACTTTTACTGACCATTACGCGACCTTCAAAATCAACCTGATTCACTTAGAAAATAGGCTTTCGTTAACTGATCAAATAGACTGTTCAAAGACCCTATTTTATCGTAGGATCATCGAGCGCTTACCGGTACGGGCGGCCATCTTAACATTTGGAACCAAGATGGCCGCCTGTAACGCAAAGCGCTCGATGTCGACGACCACAAGGAAAAATAGAGGACTGTGCTTAGTCTATTGATGAGACGATGCAAAAAACGGCTTCACTTTCTTGTCCAACTGAAATTTTGCTTTTACTTTTTTACTGCGTCGACCCAAATCGTCCGTTTTTCACATAACTTTTATCTTATTTTGTCAGGATTTTGTTTTTTGTTTGTTTGTTTTGCTTTAAGGAACGGAATTCACTTTTTTAAATGTGTAATCCAGCTTTAAGGCTGTGAGGTATTTACTCTAAATTAAAACTTTTCAAAAAATATCTATCTTAGATCTAAAAGAAGAGAAGTCTAGAAAAATCGAAGAGGTGTCGAAAGCTGGAAAAAAGAATTTAGCGTAACACGATCTCAGCGAAATTATTCTGCTTTTGTGAATTTAAAGAGCTGCAACAGTCGTTTACGTAACGCACCGTATTTCACCAAGTGTCTTAGGCCCGTTTCAAACATCGTGCTACTGCCGTGGCGAACTAAACTGATCCAATTAAATTCGACTTTAGCACGGCAGTAGCGCGACGTTTGAAACCAAGTCGTGCTACTGCCGTGTAGCACGGCAAGCTTTGCCGTGGTACACGGCAGTAGTTCGACTTGGTTTCAAACGTCGCGCTGCTGCCGTGCCGAACTCAATTCATAAATTAGAAATACATTAAAGTACATTTAAAAGTTTGCTAAACCGTTTCTTTATTATTGTATTTTGCTTTCGGCAACAGCCATTCTATTCGACTGAATTAAATGCGACGTCTGAAACCAAGTCGTGCTAGTGTCGTGCTGCAGTCGAGCTACAGTCGAACCAGCTTAGCACGGCAGTAGCACGACGTTTGAAACAGGCCTTACCAAAAACTCCCGAGGGATTCGCCTTTTCCAAATGAAACTTGTAATTCTTGTATCGTAGATAAAGTCCCGGATCTGCAGCGGATTCCAGTGAAACACTTCCAGGCACGTGCTCAAACCCAGGCCTATGAAAGCGGAACTCGTCGGCATATTCACCCAGGGAGGCTGATTTTTGGTCGGCCATGAGACCTTTTCCGGTATCCGGCGGCATCGAGATACCCCCGAGATCCTTTTTCTCAACAGGAGATGGGAACAACTTCACTACTGTAAAGTTTCTGCTGGCTGAAAAGAATTTAAAAACAAGACCTTTATTTTTGATCTAAGACTGTAAGTGAAATCCCCAAGTGTAACCATTCAAATGAACTGAGAGGCTACATAACTTTACTGTGCTTCCCTTTTACTATACTCAAGATGATTGCAACTTTCGAGTCTGTGAGTAAAAGTTTGGGCTGTGACCATTCAAATGAAAGCTACCGAGCAGACCTTTTCAGTAGTACTGTTTATCATGCTTTTCCAAGAAGTTCGTACTTTAAGTCTGTGAATGAAGAGTATAATCATATCAAGCGAACAACGAAGCAGGCTGAGAGGGTTTAGTGCTTGTTTTTATAGGAAAAAAAATGCTGTGATATTTCCACTCACAAATGGGTATTTATAATGCAAGTGGTTTTTTATTTTTTTTCAAGAATGGTTGGTTCCTGGAAGTCATCTAAACGTAAATACAGTCAAACCTCGTTTTACGGACCCCTGCATCCGCGTAATATGGACACCTCATTATTCTGGACAGTTTGCTTTACCCCTCGGGAAAGAAAGCCCTCGCATTTTGTGTAAATTCAACCCGCTTAATACGGACACCTCGTTATCACGGACAGTTTGCTTTGCCCCTCGGGGAAGAAAGCACTCGCATTTTGTCTAAATTCAACCCGGCTTAATACTAATAGGTTATTAAGGCCATTTCTTCTTGTCCCTAGCTCTTACATTTTAAATTCAACTCGCTTAATACGAACACTTCTATGCCCCCCCCCCCCCAGTCTCCGTATTAACAGGGTTTAACTGATTTACCAAATGCAGTGGGGCGAGCAGCAATCTAGCACCTTCATCGCACTCATGTGTTACAATTAGCGCATTTGAAATAATGTGATACGATCTTTTAAAGTCTTCTTTTAAGATAATCTGATATTCGTTGCCTTGGATTTTCCTTATTAGTGTTAAGTGATTGACTGACAGGCATGCGCAAAGAACCAGTCAGGTCATCCCCTCAAAATGTTTTTGACTGTTTTTACTTGTACTATTGTTTAAAAAGAAAGTGAAAACGTTCCAGAAACTGCACGCAGATTTTCCAACTTTCTCACTGTAAGGTTTCGATAAGATCCTAGCTAATCAGTAGGAAATTAATAAAGAATCGTCTCACTGGTTTTCCGTTTTCGGTGATCACGGTTTTGCTACTGAGGCAAATTACTGTTGGGTAACGAAGCGTGCATGCTCATTTTAAAGCAGAAACAAGAAGCCCGCAGCGTGTTTAATGACCTCCCTGGCGCCTATATTCTTCCTAGTAACTCTTCAACGTGCGCGTTTAATGTTGCACTAAAATCGTCGTTGCGAATCGTCTGGTTTAAATACCATTTGTAGCACAGCAGTCGTCCATTTGGCTCTTGGTTTACAGACGGGCATTAAAATATGTGAATCTTTTGTCCGCCAAACAAAAGTAAAACATGATTGAAAAATGGATCTTTTTTTTTCTCTTTTGCATGACCAAACGCAAAGTTTAAATGTTTACAACGAATCTGATTCCTGGTACATCTCAATTATAGTTTTTGTTTCGTTTTCTGTTTCTTTTGATAGAGTTAATTCTTTTAAAAACACGTCTGATCACGCGTTTTATTTACACAGTGTTCTGTGAAACAAAACGATAACCTGCAAAAATATTGTGGCGTTATATCTGTGATAACATTTATCAACGAACGAGTACAATGGTGCAATTTCTAACAGCGAGGTAACTGAAAAGCGATTATTATAAATTGTGTTCTTCCTAAGAGAAGGCTTGTTATTCCGTGGCCACGATCTAACTTCTGTCTGTGATTTGGCTAGCATTGCCACAAAAGCGATTTGTCCGCACCGGGGCTGTTGACTATACTAACTTTTTAATTTGAACTGTATATAGAAATAATTCTTTGTATGACATTTTTTTACTATTACCACTTTTGCATGTAGGGAAAAATGAACAGATGTCATTTCACTCTTTCAAACCGCAACCATATTTATGCCATTAATTAGATTTCCATTTTGTATCTTATAGTTTTAATTTGATTTATTTCTATTGTACTGTCTTAACCGACTTGACTATTACCGTCAGTTTCAAGCAACACATTTGTTGACATTTACGCTGTAAAAGCCTGTTTGCTTACACTTTTTGCCTAGTCGCAAACGAAAAGCAAAAAAACTATTTAGAACTTTTAACGGTTTTTGAGCAATGTCTAGGCCAAGCATTGCTAGGATAGCGCCCAAAACTTACCCTCGCCTTCAGTCCAGTCGGTGGTTACTTTTATTAATTATTCGAGTAACGAAATTTAACTCTGACACTGTATAATTCATAGCTGAAAATTTTCAAATTTTTAATTTCCTGGGAAATAAAATAAAGGTTATAAGTCTACAAGTTTGTAGTTCAAAACAGTAAACAATACGAGCCGTGAGTCTACCAAGCATTTCTTGGTTAACGCCCAAAATTCATCCTCGCGTTTTAACCCTGGCGCAAATAAATTCAAAGGTGGGAATTCTAAACATTTCCAGGTCAATGAAAAACAAATACGTCCATAAAAAAAGAACTATTCGATAGCTCTTAAGGAAAACTTCACACTTAAGGAATGAATTACAAACTCTTGAGACATAACAAAGGTTTTTTTTTAGAACTGAAATACTATATACAAGTACGCTAATACAAAACAATAGCCTTATTACCTCTTCCAAAAGGGCTATTGTGAAGTCTTCATTTTTGCTGTAATTTAATTATAGGAATTCTTGTGGCTGATGAACCGTTATATTTAATGTGCTTAGTGATTTTAATGTTGTTCTAATATTTGAAATACGCCGCGATTGTCTTTTGCTTATTGTTCAAAATGGCAACAAATGTTTAATCAAAACAAGGAAACAAAACACCTGCGTAACCAATTGATCTCTTTTTTATTCGCTACTACTTTCTTAGAAAGGAAACACTAGTCTTTAAGTGAAAACGCCCCAGTGTTCAGTTGTTACACGTGCTTAACGAACTCGGGTAGTTTCAATATTTCAGGGTCTTCAAAGAGATTGTTCAACGGTTGAGTTTTCCCTTCAGTTGTATGAGCTCAATAAAGTTAATAACACTTCATAGTTAACACTACCGGCAAGGGACCAAACTCTTTTGTCTTACCTGGCAAAGCTGACACTGTGAATAGATAAACAAGTGCGAGCCAAGCGGAGAAATAAATCGTCCACAAAAGCTTCATTACTGATTTCTCGCTGAGTCAGGTGTTTAATCCTGTGCTTGATTACCTAAACAATTCTTTTGATTTCACTTGTTGTGTACTTGGATGTTACAGAGAGATCTATTCATTTATTTTCACACGAGCTCGACACACACGACACAGTTTCATAGTTAAGTTGCTCGTTTGGGATACCTGCTGACTTTATATCAATGGTCAAGGCTTTTTTGTCAAGCTGACGCGATTCAGTTTAACGGGTGAGTGAACAGTTTGTACATACCTGTCGTTTGGCGGCGATTTTATTAAATCAACATTAAATAATCAATTTTTCTTTTTAATTTTGATCGATTGTCCAAGTTTGATTGGAATGCTAACTGAACAAGTCGCAAAACATTCAGCCTTGCTATAGACGTGTAACTCAAACCAGTGTACACATATCTACCAGCGAGGTGGAAATACACGCTGGTTGCTTCATTATGATCTGGTTAACCTATCAAAGTCGGTTATTGTAATTCTGCCACGCCAATGATATGTAATATGAAAGAATATGATAGCCGCCTTTTTCTTTCTTTAGAGGTTAGCGAGCGTTCGAGACCCTATTTCTCCTTTCCTCTGCACATGACCGTAGGATAGAGCAAAGTCGGCCGAAGTAGTCTAGTCAAGGATGCGTAACGAGCAAAACAATCCAATCATGCGCATGCTTTAACAATCTAGTTCCCAGAATCCTTAGAGTGCTAAAACCAAGCAAAGTGCTTCAAATCTAAGCTTGCTTCTTTCACTGTTGAAAGTCTACGATATTGCAAATACTGTTGATTTAATGAAATTTACTAAAATGTTCGAACCTAAAAGGACTAACGATCTAATTTGTTGGTCGAGCTGAAACGTTGTCATCTTTTCCAACCCTGTTTTGTTTGACATAATAGGCCTTACCGAAAATGCAATACTTCTCGTAAATTTGCAGGTTTAGCTTATTATTCAGGAGTTTATTTGCGCGAGCTGCACATTTTCTCTTCATAATAGACCTTTCCGAAAAATACCATAATTCTCTTTAGTGTTCATGTTTGTCCTGGTGCGGTATTTAGGAGGATCTTGGCTCGAGCTGCACTTTTTGTCTACAATAATTAACTATACACTTTGGCGCCGTTAACATAAAAAAGTTGTCACGGGCAGAAGAGTCACCCGCCTCTTGCGACTTGTTACCAAAATTTCTAACTCGAATTCATTTCATTATATTACTGAAATTTTCTCCTCAAAATACATTTACAACAATGTATTTGCAGTCCTTTATATGCGTATTCCTAGCGGTTAACCTTAAGTGATCGCTGATCAGTCAGATCAAGCCGGCGTCGCTTTCTCTCCAAATCAGGTGCAAGACAAACATTGTAAACATTCATTTAGACTAGCGTCTCCCTTCCCGCTTAGCACTTCACTAAGAGATCATGACGAGTTCAGTCCTTTTGATCTCGTAGCACTGATTTTTTGGCCAGATGACTAAAGTTATGGTGGTTGGTGTTGATCAGTAATAGTTTTAGGTTTTACAGTTGCACTTGTATCAGTGTTTAATATACTAATCATCGACGTGCTTTCGGGCAGTCTGAATGAATTCATCGCAACTCCGTTTTGCTGCGGGCTAAAGCTCTTCCTATTTCTGGTTATTCTGTGATAAACAATTATTTCGGCCAAAAGGATAAAGAAACATCCCAAGCTTATCATTGCCGTGTTGAACAAAAACCCTCCAAACTCGTCAAGGCCCATCTTATGCGCGACAACAGTTTGCTGAGAATTTTCACATCTTGACGGTGTCCATCTGCCAAATATCTCAGTGATAATGTGTTCCGCTTTTAGTTTGTGGATTGCATGAGATAGAGGATGATTCCAGGAAGAGTTTTTCGTTAACGCGAAAGCCAATCCGCCCAGCTCGAAAGGCAGTCCATCTTGTTTTATTTCGCAGTTTGGATCTTCATCACCGGCGCCTAGTTCGGAGATGAAGACTGTTAGTTCGCTGGAAAAGAAAAAAGATATGATGTTGTTCAATGATTAGGCCAGTGAGGGCAATTTATTTGATTATTTTCTTTTTCAACAAGTGATCTTTTCAGGTTAAAAGACAACATCAAAAATGTGAGAGGGTCCTAGTCAGCAAACTGCAAGTACCATAACCTCTATAATACGACTCGTTTTGGAACTTAAATTAGTGTAGCTTTTTTCTTTTTCCTTATCTATTTATTTTCCTTTTTTTTCTCGGCCTCAATGTATTGACCTCCCTATCGCTCGGTCAATACATCAAGGCCTCAGTCTGAGATCAGTTTCCCTGTAATGACCGAACAGACGAAGTTAATAAGTAGTTTATAAGGCCAGACTTATCACCTGGAAAATGGTTATTTACCTTTTGGAAACAAGGTTTCTATAATATCATGGTCAAACTTGTTATTGAACGATACGTAAAAGTGTCTTAAATAACTATGGTTTCGTGGTGTTATGCATCAGTTAAACATACCCTGTTCTAACTTTTTTCACTGCTTCAGCAAAATTCTCCACGTTGTATTCTTTCATATTTTCGTAGATTTTTCTCAGCCTTTCACTCTTGCTTTTTTTAAAGAAGTCCTCGGTGCTCGTGTCCTTTATGGTTCCAAAAGTGAATCCTTCTGGTGGGTCTACTAACTGAGATGCACAAAAACACGCAGTTATTGTTGATCATTATGTGAAGGTTATCAATATGTTTAAGTATTCGTCTTTCCGTTGCCTGTGGATCTTCGGGGGTGAAAACCGGTTTTCAGCTACAGTCAACTCTCTCTTAACGGACACCTCTCTAAGACGAACACCAGCTGGTGTTGGTCCCTGCAGTCTTTCAGTCATTTTACTGTTTTGTACAAGTTCAACAGACGTGTATTCATTGCGAAAAGGTTCAGCTTTACAATATTACTGTAGGAGTCACATTATTCCTACTCTCTATAAGCCCGACACCTCTGTAAGTCAAGGCCGTTCCCGAAGGTGTCCTTCTTAGAGAGAGTTGAGTGTATGCTCTACTTCTTCCACAGTGAGAAAACAGCTGATGGATTACGCGACGCCACCACTGGTCCTCCCTCCCCCCCTCCCCCGCGAAATGACTTCCGAGGAACGAGAGTAGAAATTCCATCCTAACTACGCGTCACTATCCAGATTTGGGTAGTACTTCTGATTGGTTGAAGAACATTTCTCTCGCGGCGCGACCAATCACAAGTATTACCCAGATATGAGTAGTGAGACGTCGTCTGTATGGAATATCTGCGTTCGTTTCTCACACGTCATTTGACGGGGAAACCCATGATGACGTCGCGAAATGTCGGTTGTTTTCTCAGGTTACCACAGTCGTCATTATTGTTTGTTTCTTAGGGGACGAACGTGGTGAATGACGGAAGGAAAAATGCAAGAAATAGAGCTGATAGTCTCCTCAATTTTCGTTACCATCATCCCATCTGCTTCTCATACGCGCGCAATTCTGCTGAAAGGCAACTTATTAGGCAGCGTCACGTTTTTCTGGCCTATTGTAGCTTCCAGACCCGCAAGGACTTCTTTGCAACATGCTTTCTATAGTTTGCAATGGGCTAAATTTTCCTCCATTAACTGCAAATGTCACATATAGTATCATTTACCCATAACAAAATGTGTTCATTTTCATATCTCTGGTGCATTTTATCTTTGTGTCGCTCTTCGTCTCCTCATCCGATCTACGAAAACCATTTTTAAACTTCATGGAAAAAAACACAAACAAACATAGTAAGAGGCTTTTTCGACGGCGGTTTGAAAGCAAGTTCCTCGTCATCGTAAAATAAAATCCCCCAAGTTTCGACTCAGTTACATTAAAAACAATCATGAACTGGTTTGCCTGTGTTCAGTTGCATGGGATTCTTTAATACTTGTTATATAACATTTTGGAATACTTGTTTCAGTTATCTTGTACTTTGGGGCACAATGGACGTTAACCCGTGGTTATTGATCCACTTGAAAATGTTTTCCATTCGATATCAACCTTAATATTAAACTCATCTTGTTTTTCATGGTTTGGATATCAGCTGAAACACGTCGCGCCAGGGAATCGAAGACAGTCATGGATTCTAGATTCCACACCGTTGATTCCGGCTTACAGGTACTGGATTCTGAATTCTTTGTCAGCAGAACTTGGATTCTGGATTCCAATCGTTTGTGGGATTCCGGATTTCTTAAACTGTATTCCGGATTCCAAAGCCCAGGATTCCGAATTCTTCAACTCAAAAAGTTGCTGGATTACGGAATCCGGACTCCCTTACATGGGGCGAAACACGACTCCTTCTTATTTTGGCATATTACATTAAAGCCGCGTTACTGCACTTACCTTTGGATCTGCTATCCCTGTAACAATGACAGTTTCATCCAGGGTGATAAGAGAAGCAAGTAAATTTGCAGTATACGAGCTTATTAACACCAGACCCGCAAAGTTCGCAACAACCATCACAAACGGAACTGAGTAAGTCTGGGCCTCAATTTTTGTGAGTGGTACATGAAACACATTGCCATAAACGTACATAATAAATTCAAAAGGCAGAAGATAGGTGCTTTTGTGCTGTCTATAATAATACAGCTTTTCTATCACATATACAGACACAACAACTGTTAAAAACGCTGCTAAACACATCAACCACAGCAACGTGCTAAAAGATTTCATCAGTCTCATGTCGCTGATGAATTCCCAAAAATTTTTATTTTTTGATTTATTTATCTTGACCAGAAACATCAACGCGGTGTCCATGAACGGTGTCGTGAAGTCAACGTATTGCGAACGCTTCTCGGTAGCCGTTATCATTCCGAGCGCTAGATCGGCAAATCCTCGGTAAACATCGCCGATCATTCCATTCATTTGTTTAGTGAACGGGTCCAATGATCCATATTTTCCATCTGCGACTAAATATAAATCGAATGTAAACTTTTCGATTTCTTGAAGCTTGATTAAAATGTCAATCATGACACCATAACAACAACGGGTGTTCCATAGCGATATATTATTCCTTGCCTGTGTCCCAGAGGGATTGTTATCATCCGCATCAAACTGCGTACAAGGAACTGTATTGGCTGGACAATTTGTGCCTAGTCTTGTGCTGTAGTCCATGTCATGAAATGCCGTAAATGGATCCTGATCAATAGATACTATTCTCAAATGACGCGGTCTGGGTAGGTCCCTAGGTAAAAAGGGCTCAAACATACTGGGGCCATATGCATTGTCTTGGGATGCTTCAGGTTCAACATGTCCCACGATGTTCCAGTAAAGTCCCCCTTCTGGCTTTCGCATGACTTTCACAATCGAAAATTTGAAGGATGAGCGTTCACCATTTGGGTTGAATCGGACGGCTCCTGTTTCGCCAAGAAAACTACTGCTTATCATTTCCCTAAAAAAAAAATATTTTAAGCCATCAAAAACGAACTTCTACCGGCAAAGATTCTACATCCGGATGGTCGCTGGTACACTCCGGGATAAATATAATCTCGAGCTTTTCCGTTTAGCCTGCGAGTAAGCTCTCCATTTGGGGGATATCGTAAAAAGTAGACGCGCGAGAGGCACGCGAGAGGAGACTCGAAAGCGGGGGCCCTCGCGGCTTCGCCACTCGTTCGCGCGTTCTCGCGCGGAGAGCTCGCCCGCGCGCTATTTTCCATTAAACTATAGCTACATTATTGTTGCGCATCTCTAATGCTCTAACACTTACTCTGCCAGACCCTCACTGTCAGCAAACGGCCGCGGATGGTACCGTTGGTCTTTTTGCCTCGCTGTAGATTTTCCATTGGGCGCCGTGTCCGTACACTGATGACCTTTACTCGTTGCATCGTGCTTATACCAGTAAATAGCCGTTACACTTATATAATTACAATTTACCTGTAAAGCGTTCTTTTATAGGAGCTAAAAAGGTCCCCTTGTAGACATTGTAACATTGAACTGTGTGATAGTCCGCCAACAGAGCGCTCCAAGCTCTTCACAAACAGCTTCACCGAGTCATTTAACAATGCTTTGGACAGCGCCAAAATACTGTCGTTCCCAATCGTCTGAGCTTTCTTCACTCCAAACGAACTCTCTGGAAAGTCATCCGCTTTCCAGCCAATGGCTTTATCGGTAAATATCCACACGAATTCTCTCAATCCTTCAAAACTGAGTAGCTTAAAGATCTTCATTATTGCCTCACTCTCATGACTCGTACAGTGAACAAGAATCGTCCGCAATCCATAAGCGCTTATGGCGGTAAGACCTGCACTGAGTTGTTCCAGAAGTGTTTCTTGGTTAAGAATAATGCACCGAGGCCAGGTCGCTTGTTGTCCATACTTGTTAGTTAGGTAGCCAGACAAATGGGAGAATAACGAGTCGTCACGCGATGATTCGGTCGTGATGCAAGCGAAACGACTTTCCTCAAACTCCACCATCAGGTCTTTAAGCACACTAGCTTGCAAAGCCTCCGTTGGGAGCATTGTTAGGTACATCACGCCATCCTTCAAAATTATAACATATAAAATTAACGTTTTAAAAAGTATTCAGCAACAATCCGGAACGGAAGAATTTTCCAGTTACGAAGTTATGGAGAGAGCATACTAGAAAGTTACGCACTGATCTGCAGTGATTATGGGTTTAATAAGCAGTGAACTGCGACTGTTAGCTTTCAAATATTGCAATGGGAAACGGCCCCGGGGATACGGCATACGTACATTTATATTCTAAAAATTCCGGGATTTTGCTGGGATTTCGAGGGTGTAGTGGATATGGATGTAAAGTTTATGAAGCAAATGACTCAAGTTCAAAGCATCCCAGGCTGATTATCTATCTTGTTATTTTATATTACACAGTAAGTTGAAGTTAAGTTCTGTAAGCTGTTCTTTATGTAATTTTAGTGAAAGAAACAATCTGGCTGGCTGATGTCATTTGTTGCTATAAACCCCCGAGTAGTCAATTGATAAAAATCGATAGCATTCAAGTGATTTTTATCGATTGATAAAGGAAATCGGTGAAAATCGATAAACTAAATTGCTGTAGACATATTTTAAATTCCACAAGCAGACTACTGCAATGCCGATAGTACTACGTGAAAATTAACTCTGCAAGACATCAACACGACACCGAAAGAACTCAAAACAGAGCGGGATTGTAGCCATAGACAGCTTTTTCGCCCTCTTTGGGCCCGCGCACTCTTATTTTAGCACTGACCTAGAACTCCTAACAACCACAGAATCACGTCATACCACGTGTCTTCTGGGGGGCAAGAGTCCAGGTGTCAAGTTGATGTCTCTCAGAGAAAATAAAGAATTGGCCAAAACCAACCTGAAAAACACGGAGAAAACCAAGGAAAAATTTCAGCATATCGGATCTATAAAAGATCTACGGCCCAAAAAATTCATAAAGTACAAACATTAACCACAAGGGACTGCAAAGGCCTGCAAACGAATATGCCGAAGAACGTCGGATCTATAAAGACCTGATCAGCAAAAATAATAATGTAGACATAAAATCTGCAAGCAGAATACTGCAATGCTGATATTAATCTGCAGTATTCTGCTTGCAGAATTTAGTATGTCTACATTATTATTTTTGCTGATCAGGTCTTTATAAATCCTACGTTCTTCGGCATATTCGTTTGCGGTCCTTTGCAGTCCCTTGTGGTTCATGTTTGTACTAAATTGCTGTGTCAAATCGATATTGTCGATTTTTCATAATTTTAACGATTTATAACGGTAAGTCCGACAGTGTTGTTTTTTGGCATATTAATTTAAATAGTACAGCTGAGAAAACACATCCACATCCATTCTCATGAAAAGAAGAAATGTGGAAACTATTACAGACACAAGATTCTCGTCTCAGGAGCTGTAGAAACAATGCCCTCCCGCGGTCCCCAAGAAGGGAAAAGCTCAACTTCTCTCTTCTCTCTTTCCTTACATGAATTCCATATTCAGGTGGTTAGTTAGAAAGGCTTTAAATGCAATATCCAACATAAAAATGAAACTTAATTTGCTTTGCAAATTTTAAGAAAATGAAAATCACTGTGATTTAACAGTATATAAAACACCAAAATTGACCCTTTCACGTTTTATACCTTATTTTTGGTACTTAATTTCGCGGTTCTGGCGAGAAAATGTTTCGCGGGGTTTTATTTTCGCGATGTTAACTCCCAAATATGAAGAAAGGGAATTAAATTTCGCGATTTAAACTCCTTAACTTCATTTTAAAAAAGTCTGAAACTTTAATATTTTAGATAAACTGGAACAAGAAATGTGTGAGATCTTTGCAAACTAGTATTTCACAATTACAAAATGGAGGGATTAGGGAAGGAGGTGCTTTGTGGAATTGTCCCAGTTAAAAAAATGTCAATCGTTTCTTGTTTTAACGGCTTACTATATACATCTCTATCCCACTCCATGAGTTAGGAGTAGCTATACACTCCTGCCTAAAAAAAATGTAAAAACAACAAACAGCGCAACACACGTGTGGCGTCCCCTCCGGGATACGATTACCCGCGGGAAATATCTGCGGGATATTGCCCTCACCACTGCGCTATCCTTTCATATAAAGCAGAATTGAATATAATACCAATACAATTCTACTGTAACTCACTACACATAATTTGCGACTAAAATGCGACTTGTTTACCCGCAATACTAGGAGTTCCACTTTAAAAGATTAGTAAACAAGCGAGTCGGTGTCACGGTTAAAACAATAATCTGGAAGTTTGTTGAGTAGGAGAAAGCCGGAGTATCCGGTCAATAAACCTTTCGAAGCAAGGACGAAAACAACCAAACAATACAACACGCGTATAGTGGGCCCGGATACGATTAACTGCGGGAAATATTGGCGGGATATTGCCCTCACCTGCGCAACACCTGCGCCACACTTTCTCCCCATACCGCCGACTCGAATACAAGCAGCTGTACAATATATACCAATACAATTCTATTGTAACTTACAAAACATCATTTTGCGATCACCTTTGCACGTGAAAAAGTAAAATAAAATAATTATAATTTTAGAAAAAACATAGTTCATTACATCAGTGACGAACTAACAATAGGAATGAATCTTGTATTTGGCCTACAGCTGTAGCTTGCCACGAACCTTCGCAGCCCAGTGGTTCAACCGGTGTGCGTAAGGTCATAGGTTCAATTCCTGTCGTGGACTCACATTTTTTCTTTGTCCCGCGCCCGTGACAGAATGATTACATGTTTTGAATAGGAATGACAAAATTGTGAGGTTCGCTGAAATACCCCTAGAAGTTAGAACTGTGCTAGAGTACAGAAATGCTACGCCTTTTACGTTTCTTTAGCGAAATCTTCCGTGTACATTAACTCCGTCAATGGTAAAATATATGTTTGCCTTTTCTTAAATATACACTCATCATTACTTGTTCCATATTACTTGATTAACCATTGTTTGCTATTTGGTGACATTAAAGCGTACAGTCAATGTGCCGACTTGTTAATTACAGACCCATTACACTTAAAATTCAAGATTTACTTGTCATTTTGTCACATGGAATGGACAAGTTTATAATTCTACCGGCGGCTTCCCTTTGGTTCATTCCCGTGTTCACTCTGTATTACTTAGGCGGCAAAACCTAAATTTTAATTTATAAGAGGCTAGGAAAGGACCTTGTTTGACAGTTATTATCTTATTTGTGAGTAAATATCATGAAATGTTCTCCGATTTAGATCTAAATTGAAATAACGCCGAATTGGGCCATGGGATAAGAGAAAGAAGTTTAAATTGTTAGCTTATGATTTTGTATAAATCCCCCGCTGGAATTAGTCCTTCATTAATGTCTTCATTCCAGACGTCCAGTTAAAAATCAGTTAAGAAAAAGTTTTGTGTTCGGAAATAATAAAAAGCTCCAGCTAACTTAAAACTGTATATCTCCGATAGTCATTTCAGTTAAAAAAGCATTCTGGAAGAATGATCGAAGCTTAACACACCAGTTTTTCTTGGTATGGTTTATTTTTTCTTTTCACAGCTTGAAAAGAAGCAAATTCTCATGCAAATTTACTTACTTTTTCACACCATTCTGTTTTGTTATTTCACCACGGGAGAGACGAGCGCCAATTTTGTAATAAGTCTCTGAATAAACGTGTAAAGCGTCTGTAAAAGTGGTGAATTAAGTTAAAATTTACGTATGTCAGATTTCTATCGAAACTGTAAGAAATAGTTGGATCTAAAAACCCTATTGTGCGTGGGAAAATACAGGAATTAAAGTATCTTTCAGTTCGCCTCACAAAATTTAATTGAATTTCAATTCAACACTTTTTTCTTCGAAAACGTTATGTAATAAACAGTACACGCTCTATTATATTTCCAGATATTTTTTTCAAATATTGACTTCTATATGACTTGCCTTTTTACACTAAAGTGCCTTTTGTCTCACTATTAAGAAAATATTTTTCATATCTTACCTTCTTGTTGTGATAAATGTCCTCTATAAGACTTTCCATTCCAATTACCGGAATAACACTTGTACTCAATGCGTTAACAAGAACCTGATTTTTCCACGGGGAAAGAAAACTTAAAACCGCACTTGCATTTCGCAAGATAATGTTTTCGTTGATTTTCGCCCACGTCAAATCAGGAGTATCTTTTACTTTCCATATGATTGTAATTCCTTCCAAGCGAAGAGGCGAAAAAATGATGGCTTCCTTGAGAATATTATCAAAAGTTGACTCTAAATCTTCTTTATGAATTTCCTCAAAAATAAACGCAAGTTTTGCTGTTGGATGATCTAATGTGGTAGTCGTCACAGCAAAATTAACGCATTTACTGAGCAAGAGGTAAATGAAGGGAAATGATATTGTATATCTTGCAAGTAAGCTTCGAGGCATTGTTAGGTACCTTCACAGTCAGTGAAATATGTAGATTAGAAAGCGTTGGAGTCAAAAATTTTGGAACTTCTTACCGCGTACACACATTGTCCATCGTGGAAGGAGTTTCACTTTTCAGAATTGCCGGTGCGCGATGAGATTTTTTCCGTTTTAAAAATGTAGTTTCAACGTGGTGATATGCCTTCAACATCTAATAGCCGTACTTGAAAGACATTATCGCATAAAGTGCTCACCGAATACGCACTTAAAGGTCCACTCTCGGTATATATGTTTGCATAAAACGTGATATTTGAACCCTGAGCAGGTGAACAGACAAACTTCAATTTCGTCTTTCTTCTTCGATGCGAAGCAATTACCTGATGAACATTAACTCCATTCTCCTTTTCATCATTATGCAATTCAGTTTTCCATCGTCATCAATTTTGCACTGAGTTGCTCGAAAAACCGCCACCGTTGTCACAACCAACACGATGGTCTTGTCAAACGCTTAAACAAGCATTTAGACTGATCTCTTACAGTTTCACAGTTTTTTTTTTCACCTTTAGAGTATTAGTTCGTCACCTCTGAATTCACACAACGGCTTCGTCTTGTTGGCAAAATTACAATTTCTCTTAACCGCAGACCTGATAGCATACAGTGAACGGACCAACAGCCTTCACACGAATTAA